GCAGAGTGGAAGAATAGAGATAGAATGAAGCAGAAAAAAAAGCAGCAAGTTCCTATGTCCTCCAGTAGTCTAAGCATATAGCAGCATAACTATTGAGATAGCTCAGGAGTCAGTTAGCATGTAGATGTTGTTTAATGATGGTCATGGAGACTTGGTGATCCCCAAGGGGCTCCAATTTGATCTTGTGTTCTTTGAAAATTTGATACCATATTTAATTTGACTGTCCCAGTTGCTTTAACTCTATAATATTATTCTTAATATAGATTTGGAAGAGTTAAGGTCAAAAGGAATGTGTCTTACTGGATTGACATGTTTTCTAGTGTCTATTAAAATGCGGTCGTGATCATTAATCAAGATTGTTAACTAAAAGAAACTAAAAAATAAAAATGAATTAAAAAAGTAACTAAAAGTTTCTACGTAAAAAGGAGTTATTTTATGTGAGGTATTTGGCATTTCTCCGTAGGTGTAGAACTAGTGATTTGATGGAAAATGCCGGACATTTTTCCTCACAGAATTAAAGAATTCAAATTAAAGGTTGGCTTTTTCTAATTCCTTTACTAATAGATAGCACTGCTGTTGTAAAATATGAATTTATTCTAAGTTGTTTCATCCATGTGTACCAGGCAGGAGTTTTATTATTTCGATCACTTCTTTTCCACCATCTGCTTTATCTTGATAACTTCGTTTGCATTAAACTCGATCTAAATCCACCTTTCTTTCCAGGCGACACATTCACCTTCAGTGACATCACCCGCAAAGTCCTCCTCTACCGGCACGCTGGCCTCTCCAACCAGGATGACGCCATGTCCTTCTCGGTCAGCGACGGGATCTCCATGGCAACCACAGTGGTGCAGGTGACGGTGCTGAGCAGCGTGAGCGAAGAGAGCGATGGGCCGCGACGAGACCCGGCAGCTACACTGTCGCTGGAAGTGGGCGAGAAAAGCAGCACGGTCATCAGACGCTCACACATAGCCTACATTGTGAGTGAGAAGGAATGCATGCTGGGTAAAAGATCTGGGTAAATGACATCATATCTGAACCCTGAAACACTTAGAGAAGCATCCAGTCATTCATGCAGCTTCTGTCTGTGCTGTTTCTGCAAACCGAGGCGATGAAATAGTTTAGTAGAGTCTAACATCCTAATTCGTTTGGTATAATTTAAGGAGTAAATTACATTCAATTTACAGACTAATGTGAAAATTGCTTCCCTTCGTGGTTGGGTTCACTCTGTGTTTAGTGCCTTCAAAATTTGACCAGATCATACAGGATGTTAGTGCCATATCTAGTTGCAATATTTCTTTATCCCTCCTCAGTTTCTTGCTTTTATCGAGCAGTACAAAGAATTGCATAACGTTATTAAACTAGTTAAAATCCTCTTGCATGCATCACCTCTGAAACAGTACTTTGTAAAACATCTTTTTGCTGTAGTTAGAGCTACCAATATTTTTATCTACAGCATGAAATGTATGGTCATTGCTTTTGCTAAACAGCTCAAGCTCAGTCAGATTGGATGAAGAACATCCTGTAGAAAATCTGTTTGGTTTAGCTCTCGACTTTGGTTATTCCTCTGCGACGCACATAATTTGATCTAAACTGCTCTTTCAGGTTTGTCTTGAATTTACCTCCATGATTCCACCATCCCCGCCAAAGAAAAGCACCCTCACAGCATGATGCTTCCACTGCCGTATTCCACTATAGATTATCGTGGCTATGGAGATTGCTTCTCTGTGTCTCCTCCACAGTTCCAAAGAGCCTTGTTGTTGTTTTTGTGATTAATTATTTGCTTTGTCAGCCCGCTTTGTTAGGATCAACATCTATGGTTTTTAAATCCTCTTTCCATGTTCAGATCACGTACTGAACAAAGGTCTGGGAGATATTCAGTCATCGTGATGCTGCTTGTTCTCAAATGTCCTCAAATAAGTTCCTTTACAGAAATACCACACTTACACTGAGATTAAACTATAATTTTTTTCTTTTATCTGATTAGGTGACTTATGAAGGCAGTTGTTGCCCTGTGTTTTATTTAGGGAAAACAAAGTGATGTCATATTTCTGTCTTTACAAAAATATCGAGAAACCTGTATCATGTCCTTCCAGTGTCTTAAAGTCAAGTCTTCAAAGTTCTGCTCTGTGTTGTTCGGTCACTTAAAATCCCGATAAAGAAGGTATAATGTCTGAACCTAAAATACTAAGAGCCTCTGTGTTTTGGTGATAACAGGACAGCACATCCCCTGATGATCAGATCCACATCGAGTTGGTGTCTGTGCCCATGTACGGCATCCTGACCAGGACCTATTCCCAGCAGGAGCCTCAGGAGCTGAGGGAGTATTCATCCTTCACCCAGGAAGACGTCAACCTGCACAGGATCAGGTGGGAAAGGGACTCATGTATGAAATTTGGTGAATTCATTTGCTATTCACTGATGCTTTTTATTGTTTTAAATCCACTTTTCCCTAAAGTGCTCCTCTGAGCTTCAAAGTTAATAGTTTCTACACGGTGAAGCTCCTCTCATCAGGATTTTTATTCTTCCTGATGGTTTTATTGTAACTTCAGATGCGTATAAAAGCACATGAAGCATAGCAACCATAAGGGTAAGACCAATTTTTAGGGCCATTGAAAAAACCCTAATGAATGTGTTATCAAAAACAAAGAGCTCTCATCCTAAAGTCAAAGGTTTTCCTGGGATAATTATTATCTGTCCTCTGCTGCATTAATCGCCTTCATTATTAGAGATGCTCTAATAAAGATGCTGCTTTAAAAAGCAGAGACAGGCTGTTTGTTTGAGTTTGTAGGTGATAAAATGGCTTCAAGGGTTCTTTATGCTGAGGTTGCAGTCATGATTAGCTCCTCTGGTTGCTGCTTGACTTTGTTGGGAACTTTTTTACTTCCACTTCAAAGAGCAAAGAAAAAATGGTTCCATTTTTCTTCAGAATAAAGTTTTTAAAAGACCAAAACCAGAAGAAAAGAATTGAATTCCTTTTCTTTCATGAACGGAGTCTGTTGGAATAAGCTGAGCTGATGAGCATAGCATCAGTTTTACCTGTTAGAGGAGGTGAAGTCCTCAATGAGAGGCATGACATGAAACATTTTCATGGTGGCTCCTTCATTTCCATTCATTGAACCTTCCTGAGCTGCAGGCACAACTGTTTGTTTTTGTTTTGACTCTTTGGATCTAGCAAACAAGCGGTGCGAAGCTGGATGAGTCAGGGAAAATTTGACAGGGATTGATTTCAGCACGGTTATTTGTGGGAAAGCTACTGTTAGAGATTACAGCGAAATCTGTTTATCCCTCAGTCTTTAAAAACACCTCAGACGCACTTCGGTCGATATGTCATGAGATGAGATGCTGATTCTTATATAGCTGTTCACTGAAATGAAGGCAAAACCAGCTGATGCCTTGATTTACATGTAGATCCATCAGAATACCATGAATCCGAGCACATTCACAGAAAGTTAACTGGAAGGAAAAAGTGAGGTGGGAAGCAAGCACTCTACCTAAACAAAACACTAAAAATCACAAATGAATCTTAAAATCATGCGATCTACATTAAGCTTCCATCCTGATAGTGTTGATTTAGTCCTTTTTCAGTCAGAAAACTTTTTTGCTCAGCTGCAATCAGCAAACATAAACATTGTGATGCACTGTTGCCATCTGCTGGCAGTAATTACACACATCCATCAATTTGGCAGCTTTAATCTCACTTCATACTGTACTTCAGGCACTACTTGTGTCTTATTCCTCTTGATTTACTACTTTTTTGTGCTTTTTCACACTTTCTTTCCACTCCTCCTCTGGGGAGGAGTTTGTTGTTTACTTATTGTGCTCATACAGAATATTTGGTCACATGGTCTTGTGAGGAAACAGAAGACATACAATCATGCACACACACAATCAAACCTAACCGGTATGTTTTTGGACTGTGGGAGGAAGCTGGAGTACCCAGAGTGAACCCACGGATTTGTGGGAAGAACATGCAAACGCCATGTAGAATTTGCATACGGTAGTCTCATTGGGGACTATGCCAGGAATTGAACCCAAAACCTTTTTGCTGCAAGGCCGCAGAGCTACAAACTGCCCCACCATGCAGCTCATATACAAAACTCTTAAGTATAATAACAAACAGAAATAAAAGAAACATGTAAAATAAAGTAATAAAATATAATGGGACAACAGGACACCGATAACAAGGGTATAAGAATAAGTTAGAAACAGGAAGTTTTAGTTTCCTTTAATGATCTTCCACCAAATGTCTGCTAGAGTCTTTGATCCAGATGACTCATTTTATGAGATTTAAAGACCTTGTTTCCAAAAATCTCTGCTGACTAAGAGACTCTTGTTATTTGAAAGAAGCGAAACATCCTTCCATTAAAAACCTGTGATTGATTCCTCATTCCTTTCTTTGTTCAGCTTTCGCAAGACAAGTTCTCTTTGATTATTCTGGAAATGGTAGCAGAACGTCTGAGGTCACATCTCTCAGCTAGAAAAAGAATCTCCAGCCTTTTGGAGCTACTGTCTCACAACCTTTAGATGCATCCTTCTCCAACACACATCAATCAAGTGATTGTTTTGGAGCAGAGCTGCTGCTCCTCCACTGTTGGTTGTTTGAACTCCCTATCAGGATGTTCTCCCTATGGAGAGTTTCTGCCCGTGTTTCAGTTAATGGTGAACCCAGGAGAAATAAATCCTTTCTGGCATTTAAAGCATGCTCCTGCCTCCCTCTGAACCAAGATAAGCTTTTTATCCTAAAGCTCTGATATGAGGTCCTGTGTTTGAACTTTTTTTTTGTTTAAGAGTCGCCCAGTAGGAATAACCTGGTTCTCAATATGCAGGTACACCACCTCACTAGAGACAGGAAGTCAGCCGGTCACAGACATCTTCCATTTTGTTGTCCATGACGAAGACAGCAACCGCCTTGACAACCAGATATGCACAATTACCATCACCTCCATGCCCAGACAGCCGCCAGTGGTCACCGTGCAAGGAGGCATCAAGGTGATCTTTTTCTTTTTCACTTTTAATGCTGGTTCTTGTTCTCTCTTCTCTCTTTGAAGCATTTTGGTTTGTGATAAACTGGGATTAAATCTGTTTCAAAGACAGTTTTTTTTGAGTCACAGAACAGTTGTTAACATTTTTCAGTTGAAAAAAGAGGAGTTTGATCTAATCTTTCAAAATCATTTTGATCTTCAATCAGACAGAAATGCTTAAAATATATCAGTTGAGGAGAAACAGGACTGAGGACTGGGTTAGTGAAAACTGAATTAATCACTAAAGAGAGGGAATCCAGTGAAAACTTTGCCACTGCCACAAACAAATGAAAAGAAGCAGACCTGCAGCCTTTTTTATTGCAGCTATCGCTTTTACAGATGCCAGGCCTCTTCATCCTCTTTCTCTCTCGGCTCCTTGGATAACCTGATGGATGGAGCTGGCTTTAAGCTCCGCCTCCAGCAATCAGTGTAGTTTACACTGTATGAAAAAAAACAGTAGTAGCCATTCAACATTTCCCCACTTTCCTTGATGGGCCCTGGGCTGGTCCTTGGCTAGTCTTCTACAGTTTATTTTTAAACATCCAAAATATTCTGTCATGATTTATGGACATTCTAAAGCGGAGGTCTTCAACAGGGGGTCCGTGACCCCTAGGGGTCCACGGAGGTACTGCAGGGGATTCGCAAAGGTTTTGGTTGATTAGTCTTTTTTTTTTTTATATTCCCAACCAGGAGTTTTTCCACTAATTGAAATGTCTTTAACTCCACATTACCATGAATTCAACGCACTGTAGTAAACAGATAAATGGAGGCAGAAGATGTCTTTCAGTCATCAATGTACACATTCAGCAACACACAGGAGCTCTTTCAAGCTGGGAACCGTTTCATTCAAAACACCTGTCCAATCAACCAGGAATTAGAATCAGAAATACTTTAATAATCCCAGGGAGAAATTACTCTCTTTAAATGAATCCATATGTAATAGAGTGACAATAGGATCAGTTTGATATAACACAATTTTATACAACATATATAATTAGGGGGTCCCCGCTCCATCTCGCCATCGGTTTGGGGGTCCTTAGCCTGGAAAACTTTGAAGAGCCTTGATCTATAGAGAAAGTGTTATCTCCTGGTCAGCCCCTGTAATTCAATGAAAGGGTGGAGTCAGGGTATAAATACATGCACGCCCATGAGAAGGCCATTGGCTGGAAGTTGGAAGGGATTTTGCTGCCATTCGGATGGCTTTCTACTGGGAAGGGCCATTTTGAGTGGCTGCTACTGTAAAAGAAATAAAAAGTGAAAAATAATAAATGAATAACTAAAAGTTAAAACATAAGTTATATGTGAACAATATTTGTACGATTGTATAAACAAGAATGTGTTGTATATGTTTTTAATTCATAAAATTATTCAGTGGGATAATTATCTGGACCAAAGACCTGCCTGAGCTACATTTTCTCCTCCTACACGGTTCAGTGAGGGGCCATGAATAAATCTGTGAAACAAACTCTTTAGGAAACAAAAATACAGAGCTTTCAGTGTGACCCAGTGATACAAAACTGTCAGATCATTCTGCTGGATTACACAGATGAGACGTGTTCGGTTTTAACTGATATTTGGGTCACAGGATCCGTGTGCAGGAGGTGGGAGAAGGAGATCATCCGCCTGTTAAAAAAAACAGTCCACATCAGGTGGACACATCCCATTTGTCTGCATGTATTCCAGAAATCTAACATCAAAGCTTTTTTTCCCCCTTCAAATGGGCTTATATATTATAGTTTGACCTGTTCCATGTGTTGTGGTCATTGATATGAATGCAGTCCCTCTCCAGCTCCATTTTTTTGTTTCTGCACTTCCTCAGTGAAAACCTAATTTCTCCTCCTCTTAGGAACAGCAGTTTTTCCGTGTCACATTTTAGCCCTAAACTGGGTCTCTTTCATATCCACACCTGAGCAGGACCAAAAAAAAAATCCAGTCTGGTACAGAAGGAAACGTAATGAAAACCGTTACAAAGTGAGGAGAGAGGAGCGGAGATGGCCCGATACAGCCTGTGGGAAAAGGAGCAGTAGATGCTGAGCTGAGAAACATCCATCTGTTAGGTCCTGTTCAGGACCTGCAGCCTGTGATCATTTATCCTACATTTTCCTCATGTTTTTAGAAAAAAAACTAGAAACTCTGCTCTCCTGCTCAGGCTTAAAAACTTTGGGCAGAACTTAAAAGATGTATAACATTGAACTGCACAGTATGATTCTAAAAACTAAAAATGCACATCAGTCAATTTTAACTTGGTTTAAGTGAGTTCAAGAAGTTTTTATTTTGCATTTTCTGCCCTAAAATCCTATAGAAAATAAACACGATTAGTCTGTTTACTCTGAATAGCTACTACTTAGAGTCCCTCTTAGAATTTGTCAATGTTTGCCTCTCAGGTGACGGATGCAAAGCGTCATAGAGAAAGCGCTGCAAAGTGCTTCACAGGACATTAAAAGAAAAAAAGATAACAAAGCATTTAAGGAAGAGGTTGTTAAAAAAGCAGACGTAGGAGGAACGAATGTTTGCAGCACATCATCAGTCAGATTGTTTGATGGACAGCTGCTGTTAAAGGTCATGTTTTAAGCAGTTATTTAAAAGAACAAGCAGTTTCTGTGTAGTTGATCAGGTTTTCAGTCAGTTGGATCCCTGGAGGGAATCCCAGAAATCTTTTCCAGAGCGACATTCCCCAGTTTAATCTGGGTAATGAATTTTCATATCCCTGTTGAGGTCATTGGGGGTTTGTAGCCAAAATCCCTCTCCACCAAGTTCTGTGTCTTTTTTGGAGACTCCTCCTCGTAGGAAATCCTTCAAATGGAGTCACTGATAAGAGGTCCTGAGTGTACATCTTCACAAAGCAAACCAAAGAACTGAATGATAAATAAGAGCTTAGGATTTTAAAGAACTCCAACATTTGCTGACTTTTATTTTGTAATAACTCCAACATTTGCTGACTTTTATTTTGTAAAAGATAGAGGCTAAATAAAATGTTTGTAACAGTACATTAAGCTAAATTTAAGTTTAAGCTGTTCTATTGATTCTGGATTCATTTAGTTAGAAAGCTAAAAAAAAAAATTATATATATATATATATATATATATATATATAAAACCAAATCAAATAATTTTTTAAACACATCCAGGATTTTACAGTGTAAAAGTACCAGAAATTACCTCAATTTAAACTGACTTGTTTCCCAGGTCCAGGAAGGCGGCCGTGTGCTGCTGTCCACCAATCACATCACAGTATCGGACGTGGAGACGCCTGCAGCGGATCTGCAGATCTGGCTCGTCAGCCCTCCCAAATACGGCTACATTGAAAACACAAAGAGAGGTGGGTTTACAGCACCGCCCACCCCCCCTCCCATTAACATGCTGCCTGCACACAGAGCAACATAAGAAGTGTCTCTCACAATGAACTCGACGATTTTGTTTGTGTCACATTTAACAAAAGCGGCTGAATTTCCTGCCGTCCTGATGCCATCTGTCACATCTTCATAATGTTCTGGATTAGTGCTGCCGTATACCCGGCTACAGATGGAGAAACGCCATGGTTTCAGTGCTCCCATGTTTTATCGCCTTTGCTAAAGATAGGAACAGATTGGGGGGAAATTAGAAAGGTAATCTGAAATGAGAACAAAGCTGTCCTTACAAGGGGAATTTCTCACTAAAAGCTCCAGTACTATAACACATTAACAAAAGGGCTAAAAATCAATGAGGGAAGACAACCTGAGAGATGATGCAGAAGAGATTATACTGAAAGGTTATCTTAAAGCTGAGCAGCAATGCTAAAAACATCCAAAGCTGCAAGGAATTGGTTTAGAACTGGGATGTGTGGGTCAGTTGGCCAAACCAAACCAACCCGAACCCCACCTTCCAGACAGAGAGTAGATTACCACTCCCACTCTCAATCTATTAAATTAAATGCTTAAATACAATCATGTTTTTCTATAAATGCAGTGTTGTGACCCCAAAGAATTTATTAGGACGGAAACAATGAATCAGACTAATTATTGAAATAATCGTCAACTAATTTAGTAATCGATTAATCGTTAAGAGGAGTATAGAGATTCTAAA